GGCTGATGACTGGTAGTGTTTTACCTACCTAGTCTCAGAGCCTTGACATTGACCTAATGCTGTAAACTATTACAGCATTCTATGGAAGGGCTATGGAGGTCAGAGGTAGAATGACAAGCCCAAGGTCACATAGCTGGTTAGTAAAGGGCCGGGTTAGAACCCAGGGCTATGGGTGCCACAGCCCATGGTCCTTGCCACCTGCTCCATCAGGTCATCGACTCCCAGGGACCTATGCCTCCCAGGGGCTATGCCTCTACCAGTGTCATTTTATCCTGGTGCCTCTGACTCCACTGAACGAGGTCAGGGGGTGGCTCAAAGCTATCGTTCACTCCATTCTGTCTGCCCTCCCTTGTCCCCCAGACTTGGGACTGGTGGCTTCCAAAGGCCCAGTGCCCACCCGGGTGCCCGAGGGCTCTTTGCATGGTCACTGCAGTAAGTCCCCATGTCCACGGTGGCCCAAGGAGCCTCTTCATTTCCCTGCTGTGGCTGGGGGCCCAGCCGCAGGCCTGGGCTGGAGCGTGAACCACTTGACTGAGGCTGGATGTCCCTGCCACCGTGGTGCCGCCAGTGGGGCGTGCATGCTAAGGAAATGAGGGGCCACCAGTGCCCTGGTCGCCAGGCAGACCTGGAGCTCCTGGGGGGCAAGAGGAAGCAGCAGGGTGCAGACCCACCCTCTTCACAGAGTCACGCCTTCATTTTCATTAATTCCCCTACCGACACATTCGTTATCACAGTTCCTGTAGGTCCTCTGTCTAGAGGCGGCGTAGGAAATAGGAAGAGTCACCATTACTTGAACACAGGCTGTGCGCCGGGCGTTGCGCTAAATGCTTTGGACGTCACACCCTTGGATACGTCATCGCAACCCCCGAAGGTACATTCCGTTAGTCCCATTTTACAGATGAGGAGACTGAGGCACGCTGGGTGAAGTAACCAGTGCACCAGTAGGAGATGACTGCCTGGGTTTCTGTTCCTCATGTCTGCCTGCCTGGGCACTGAGCACAGCCCTGATGTCCTGCCTTAACCCCTCTTACCTGTGCCTTGGCCTCCCCAGTCTCAGAGTTGACGTTTCTGTGGGAGCTGAGGATCGAACGACATGTTTTAGAACAAAATGCCAGGTCCCGTGCCCTGCACAGAGTGAGATGCTCAGTGAATGAGAACTTGACCTTCACCCACCCTCTCAGTACCCTCATCCTGGATGCCTGTGCCCAGGAAGGAGATGAAGCTGGGCTTCCCTGAGCACCTGTCCATGGGCAGGTGCTCCTGCTAATTAGCTTGGACCAAACCAGACTGGGAGGGAGGGAGTAGTATTTTGGCCCCATTTCACAGATGAGGAAACTGAGGCTTAGGGAGCCTCAGGGAGACTTGTTCAGTAAGGGACAGGTACAGGGGCAAGAGCTGGCTCTACAAGCACCCCCTTGTCCTGGTCCCTCGAAGGAATGCAGCAGCTTCTGGGTGGGAGCCATCCAGCAGGTGGATGGGGGTAGGTGTGGCTGACACTGGCTCCAGACATAGCCAGCCTTGTCCCCCTCCCCTGGGTTGTTGACAGCCACCCTGGATGGCGGAGCAGGTACCATATGACCCTAGGTGCCGGGGTACATGAGCATTCTGTTCTGGGGCTCTGCCATGCCCTCCCTCCAGGCCCCAGGTGCCTGGCAGGTACTCCTCAGCCTCGTGAGCATTTGGTGCACAGAGGCCGGGGCAAAATGAGGGAGCTGATGTTCTGCCGGGCACCTGCTTGGTGAGGTGCATCTGGGCAGGCGTTGTCGGAAGGAGAGTGAGGCTTGTGGAGAGATCTGAGTCTTAGGAAGGAGAGTCATACAGAGTCGTAGACCCTAGCCCTTTACTGGGCCCAGAACCGAGGGTCCCATGCCAGTTCCGTACTAGGACAAAAGCCATCAACGCTGTAACGTCATATTCACTATCACGTATGAGGCAGGTGCTTGGTGTATTCATCCCACTTAATCACCCTTGTTTGAGGTGGCGGTGCGCATTTCACAGGCGAGGAAGCTGAGCGGAGTCAGGGCCTGCTGGTCGGCCCCTGCCCAGAGCCCCACAGAACAGGACCAGCGCCCTTCCCCATCCCAGCCCTTTATGCTCCCTTTAGCGACTGTCACCTTTTGGGCTCTTATTGGGCTTGTGGTCGTTTGGAATCTTCAGATCTTTTTCTGAATGAGACAAAGCTGGCTTGCGTGGATCTCTGGACTCGAGAAGGTGTCCCAGCCACAGGTGTCCCCCCTTCAGGCCTTAGCTGACCCCCAGGTCCCCAGCTTCTAGGGGTCACCCTACCCATTACACTTTTGACATCTCAGAGGGGTGACCAATGAGGCTGGGTCCTCTGGTAACCAGCTCTGAGGCCTGTCCTGTGCCCTCTTCCAAGGTGTCTCTGAACCAAGCCAGCCGGCTCAGGGGCTGTGCAGCTCCCAGACCCTCCTTGGGGAAGCCCTGCCTGCCTACCCCTGCTCTACCCTCAGCTGGATTGGTGCTAGGTTTCCAGCTGCCCAATTTTGTCCTGGAGGAGGCAGTACTGGTAGGAAAGAGGGGAAATGGTGGGCGGGGGGTGGGGGGTGGGACACAGAAGCAAACAGGATGTACAAAGGTGGGGTAGGGGAGAGGAGCCGATGCAGCCCCCAGTCCCTGGGGTCATGCCACTTTTGGGGGCTCCCCCCTGCACTCTAGGCCCCTCCAACCACCATGGCAGGGGGAGGAAGGAAGTTCAGGGCGGCCCCCTCCAGCCGAAAGCAAACATGGCCAGTTCCTTTCTGTAAGCACCCAGGGAAGCAGATGTAAGGCAAATGGGCAGCATCTCCCGGGCCCCTATTTCCATGGCTCGCCCCTGCCCCATGAACTTTGCATAAGTCTGTCATGGTTCTCCATCACTTTGGCAACCAGTAGCCACACAGGTGTGATCAGGGGGACCTCGGGCCCTGGACTGGGCCGTGAGGATGGCAGTGTGTTCAGCCTGGGCCACCGTGGGGCATGTGCTCTGGGTGCAGCCCTGAAGGAGAACTGCAGGGCCTTGGTGTTCCTGGACATTTGTTCTCAGGGCAGCCAGTGCCCTAGCCTCACCCACTTGCCCTTCTTAGGTGATGTCAAGGCTAGAGGGGACCGCGGAGATCATCCAGCCCAGGGCACCTCAAGGGTCACAGACTGAGCCTTGTGTCATCCTGGATCTGGGCGCACGGCTGCATTTGTCGGTGTGTGTATTAGTGTCCAAGGTTTTCATCAGAATCTCAAAAGGATCCTTGCCCCTGAAATGTTAAGAAGCACCGAGTCCATTTTACAGGTGGGGAGACTGAGGCCCAGAGAATGGAAGCCACTTGTGTGAGGGCAGCCTTCAGGTTGGGGCAGAGCTGAACCAGAAGCCAAGCCTTCTGACTTTCTATCCAGAGCTCCTTCTTCAGATTTTAGTCTTCAGAGAAGATCATCCTTCTGGACTAATAGCCCCCACTAAGCAGGGGGACCCCATCATTCCTTCCTCATTGGAGCGCCTTGGTCAACACCATTCCCATGAGCCCCCATTAGGGTCTTGGATTCCTCCAATCCACATACTTGCCATGTGGCTTTGAATAAGTTACTGTCCCTCTGAACCTCAGTCTCCTCATCTGAAAAATGGAGAGATGATAACAGCATCTCAGAAGGTAGTGAGAATAAAATGGGATGGCAGCCTGGCGTAGAATGAGCCCTGCAAACGTGTTAATGATAGAAATAACTTGTGCTCATTATCACCATCCTCCTCCCATTCTTCGTGGCACAGACGCTGCCTCCTCCATGGAGCTCTTGGCTGGCCCACGCCTTCCCTCCTTCTTACCCCTTCTTGGCAGCCAGCACAGCGTGGGTCATCATAGAGCTGTCCTGACATGCTTTTGACTTGATTGGAGTCCAGGGGAAATCCACCTGCTTTTCCGGCCCTTTGGCGACTGGCCCTCTCTGGGCCTCAGTTTCCCCATCTGTATAATCGGTAGGTGTGTGGAGCTCTGCAGACCCTCTCAGCTCTGATACAATACGCCACACTATGGATGGCCCTGGTGCCCCTGGCATCTTCCAGCATGTGCTGCCTTCACGAGCACATGGCCCTGATTTCTGTCTCCAGACCGCAAGCCGTATCCCTTGTGTGTCCTGGCTGTGTCCCTTGTGCCCCACCCAGCCCTGGCACATAGTGGGCTCTGCTAGTGCCCTCTGGATGCATGGCTTTCTCAGCCACTCTTGTCCTCCACAACGCCACACCCAGGGGGCTCCAGTTAACTTAGATGCTCTTTTTCTCTACCAACCCCTTACCCCGAAGCTTTGCTAAATAATCTGACTTGACGGGGAGTCTCCAGAACATTCCAGGGCCACCCAGCAACTGGCATCTTTATTCTCCCTCTTCAAACTGACGCACACACTCATTGTGCCTGGAACTGGTCCTTCACCAACACCTTGGCCTTGAGGTGGGACCTGCACTGGGAGAGGGCGGCACCAGTCCCCACCCCCATGGTGGTTGTAGCAGTGACAGCTCCTGAGGGCAGAACACACCCAAATCAGACAGTACAGGGTTGAGAGCTTGGCAGCCTGGGTCTAAATTCTAGTGTCATTGGGAATTCCCTGGCGGTCCAGCGGTTAGGACCCGGTGCTTTCACTGCTGTGGGCCCGGGCTTCAGTCCCTCGACCGGGAAGTAAGATGCCGCAAGCTGTGTGGTGCGGCCAAAAAAATTAAAATAAATAAATAAATAAATTCTAGCGTCACTCCCTGTTAAAGGTGTGCTTTTCGGCAAGTTGCTTAACTGTTCAGCTTCTGTTCCTTCACTTTAAAAATGAGAGTAATAGGGCTTCCCTGGTGGCGCAGTGGTTGGGAGTCCGCCTGCTGATGCAGGGGACACGGGTTTGTGCCCCGGTCCGGGAAGATCCCACATGCCGCGGAGCAGCTAGGCCCATGAGCCATGGCCGCTGAGCCTGTGGGTCCGGAGCCTGTGCTCTGCAACGGGAGAGACCACAACACTGAGAGGCCCGCGTACCGCAAAAAAAAAAAAAAGGGAGTAACAATGGCTGCTTTGCAGGGTAGCTAAACGATATGATGCATAAAAAGTGCTTGGCACTGTGCCTGGCATATAATACATCCCAGAAAAGTGCCATTTAGTTATTGCCTTCACGACTCCCTAAGTATCTGGCAGGGCAGAGGACAGTGGTCTCGGGGGCTCCTAGAACGCCACCAGGGACCGCGTTCCAAGGAGGCCAATGTGGCTGTAGTTTGGGGCACACAGCGCAGGAGAGAGCAGGCGGGGAAGGATGGGTGAGCTGGGGCCAAGCTGGGGAGGCCTTGAAAGCCAAGGCCAGGAGCTCGGCTGTGATCCTGCAGCAATGTGGAGTCCCAGGGGGTGTTAGAGTCAAGGTGTGATAGACTCAGAGCTGTCCTTCAGGGATTTAAACTGTCAACCTGAGGCAGACGGGGAGGTCCAGACAGGAAGTTATAAGGGTCTGAGCTTGGGGTGTGGCAGAAGGGGGAGGGGTCTGGAGAGAACCGATAGACACTGTGAATTAGTGCTGGGGCTTTTGACCTGCTGACACGGAGGGTGAATAAGGTCCAAAGAGGACCTCCCCATTGTACAGATGAGGAAACTGAGGTCAGGAGAGGGGAGAGCTAGGACCAGAACCCACACCTCCAGACACCCCGTGCAGGGCTCTTCCTTTCATTCTATGGGTTGGATCTCCCCACGCCCCACTGGTTTACATACACCCAGAGAGGGCCAGGGCCAGGCCCCAAATCCTGCATCTTTCCACAGCACGCAGAGGCCTCTCTCTGTTGTTTTCAATGTCTGTGGGTTGACTCCACCCCAGGGGAGGTCAGGGGCGAGGGAGGGGGTGCTCCCTCTGGAGTTGCTAAAGACACAGCCAGTATCTTTCAGGGTAACTTCGAGAAGATTTGGGCTCTTTCAGCTGGGCTCAGAGCCCGGGGTGCCCCCCGGGGTGGTTCATTTCATTATAAGAAAGGACAATCTCGCACTCTGGCAAATTCACCTTTCTCCAGGGTCTGCCCTGCACCCCACCGTTCGCACATGCCTTTTTATTTAATCCCCACACCGATCTCATGAGGCTAGAATTATTATTCCTATTTCAGTAGCAAACAGAGGCTCAGAGAGGTTAAGTAACCTGCCCATTCTCACACAGCACACAGAGCTGATGTCCAGTCCAGGCCGGCTGGAGTGATGCTGCCTCAACGTTCCTCGAGTGTAGACACACACGTCAGCAGGAGCTGGTCAATGATGTAGGTCTGTTACCAGGGGCGCAGTGCTGATACAGATGGAAGAGTCACTGCAGCGCAAAGCAGAAGTGTTCCCGTGAACTGGCACCAGGAAAGGGTTCTAGGAGGAGGTGAGGCTCCAACTGGCCCTTGGAGGAGGATCAGGGTTTGGCAGGGGTGGGCAGGGGGACAGTACTGAGTTTCCAATCCCCTTATTGTCCCTTGGAGCCTCCTCCCACCATGAGCCTGGGCCCCAGGAGCAGCATTCAAGCCTGTGACATATCCACCTGGGCTGGGCGTTTTACAGCAGGCCCCCAAGGCTCCTGCTAGGCCATATTGTTGGGGCAGGAAAGGACCAAAACAGCATTCTGTGGACAAGGGTCTTTGCTTAAAACAGGTCCCTGATTTGCTGGAGCCGTCTCCCTCCATCCCACTCCTTGGGGGCAGTCACCTTCAACGCTAGGAATTTTCAACTTTCCTTTCTGCCAACACCCCTGCCCCTGGGTCCTGCATCCAAGGGGGGATACCTAGAGGGGGCTCCCTCTGCAGAGGTGATGGTGGATTATGGGGCTGACAGATGGCCCCCCTCCCCCACTCCCACTTCCCAATCTCTGCCGCTGCTCTGCTACTTTTACCAAAAGCAAGGTGCTCGCGATGTAATGTGGCATGGAGGTTAAGAGCCAGGCCCTGAGGTCTGGCTGTGTGATTTGAATCGCAGCTCTGCTGGTTGTGCAACCGACACTGAGTTTCTTAACTTCTCTGTGCCTCAGTTTCCTCACCTGTGAAATGGGGTTAGTAATAGTCCTAGTTGCTGTGAATGTTAAATGAGATGGTGAGTGACAAGCACTCAGCGTGATGCCTGGTTCTTAGAATCAGTGGCTGCTGTTTTGGAACAACTACTATGGGTCAGGGGCGGGACACATGACCACGTGCCAGCCCCAACTTGGTCAGGCTCTGGAGTTGGGCTCCCTTTGCCCCCCTACTCTGTCTCCTGATGGGAGCATCTATGTCCTTTACTCCCAAATGCTTGAAACATCAGGGAGATGTGACCTGACCTCATCTAAATGGCAGAAGGTGTAGGTGTGGCCAGGTTAGCAGGACATGCTCTGTCTACTGCCAGATGGGGTTCTCCTGGACCACCCAGGCTCTGCTGTGCCCTAAGAGGGATCATCCTCATTCCAGCCTCCTCCCCTTCCTTCAGAGCCCTCAAACCTCTCTACCTGTCCCAGGTGCTTTCCTGCTCCTTGGACAGTGACAGGACCCATATGTAAATGTCTGCACAAATCCCCTGGGGTTAGATTGCCAGCTCTCCAGGGAGGCAAAGCCACCTCTGGGACCTCCACTTCACAGCCATGGGAGCCCAGGGCAGGGTGGTCTGCTCCCTGATCTTCCTGCTGCGGGCCCTGGCTGAGCTGACTGAAAATTCGGAGTTCTACTTGCTTAAGGATTACCTCCTGGGTGGCCTCTTCACCCTCCATGCCAACGTGAAGGGCACTGTCCACCTCAACTACCTGCAGGTGCCCAAGTGCAATGAGTGAGTCTCCAGTGTGAGGCTGGAAGTGATGGTGGGGGCGGGGTGGGAGCAATGAATGCGTCTCGTCATTCATGGCCAAACCCCCATCCTGGATGCACCCCACTGGCTCTCAGGGAGGCCCGGCACAGTCCGCATTATTAAAATCTATGGCGACTATGTCCTGAAATTTTGAAACCTGGTGTCTCAATGTCACGTCTCTTACTAAAGAGTTATGGGATGTTTGAGCCTAGAGGGGTCTTAGAGACCATCAAACCCAACCCCCTTCCCTCTGGCAGCAGCGGGACTCCCAATGAGTCCGTGCCAAGGCCCGGCTGTTATACCTTTGGGAGGCAGGTTCTCAGACTGGAAGGAAGGTTTGTATTTCCCCAGGGCTGTGGTTGGGTGGGCAGGGGTGTTTCCAGGACTGGGGGGGCTTTCCTCTGCACTCCATCCCCTGTGAACCCACTGGGGTGGCAGCATCATTCAGAGATTGAGTGGGCCACCTTCAGGCAGGCATGAAGGCTGGGATACTGGAGCCAGCCTGGGATTATAAAATAGTGATCTTGTGCAGAGAGGGCAAGGCATTCTGAGAAAGAGAGAAGGGAAGGAAGGAGAGTGCAAAGATGATTAAAGCCTGACTATAAGAAATGAACCATTTATAAGATGTTGGGGAAGATTATATGCTGGCTTGAGAATGGTGAGGGTGATGGTACTAAGCCTGATGTTGTATATTTTGATGCTTTTGATGATGGTGGAGAGTCTAGTGAAATGATGGTGGTGATAGAAGTGCTGGTGATGTTGATAATGTTGGTAGTAGTAATACTGGTGATAAGGAAAATGGAGTACAGTAATGATGGTGGCGGCAGTGGTGATGGTGATGGTGGTGGTGGTGGTGATAGTGAAGGTGGTGGTGGTGATGATGGTGACAGTGATGGTGGTGGTGATGGTGAGAGTGATGGTGGTGATKGTGATAGTGATGGTGGTGGTGGTGATGGTGACAGTGATGGTGGTGGTGATGGTGAGAGTGATGGTGGTGATGGTGATGGTGAGAGTGATGGTGGTGATTGTGATGGTGATAGTGATGGTGGTGATGGTGATGGTGACAGTGATAGTGATGGAGGTGATGGTGATGGTGATGGTAGTGGTGGTGGTGATGATGGTAGTGGTATTGATAACGATGGTCACAGACATGGGGTGACTGTGATGGCAGTGGTGATGATACCCATAATAGGAATAGTAGGTGTTGATGGTCACAGTGATGATAGTGATGATGGAGGCTATGGTGGGTAATGGTGGTCACATTGGTGGACATTGATAGAGTGATGACGGAGGTCATAGGGACAGTAGTACTGGTGGCAGTGGTAGTGACTGATGGTGGCCACAGAGATCATAGCGTCAGAGGTGGTCATAGGGACGATGGTGATCTCAGAGCTGTGGGATGGTGAAAATGATGTAAAAATGCCAGAACCCTCTGGAGTGGTTCCTTCTTGGGCGATGCCTTGGCTTTCCTACTGCAGGCAGGAGGGACAGGCTGGCTGTCCCCTCCACTCCCCTCCCCTCCCCTCCTCACTCTGGACCCGTTGCCCACTCCACCCTACTGCGGCCTCTCCAGGTACGAGATGAAGGTGCTGGGCTACAACCTCATGCAGGCCATGCGCTTTGCGGCGGAGGAAATCAACAATGACGGCAGCCTGCTGCCCAGCGTGCTGCTGGGCTACGAGATGGTGGACACCTGCTACATGTCCAACAACATCCATCCTGTGCTCTACTTCCTGTCACAGGACGACTATTTCCTGCCCATCCAGGAAGACTACAGCCACTACATACCCCGCGTGGTGGCCATCACCGGCCCTGACACCTCCGAGTCCCCTGTGACCGTGGCCCACTTCCTCTCCCTCTTTCTCCTTCCACAGGTGAGGCCCCTGGGCCCTGGGAGAAGGGGCTGGGAAGGAGGGTAGCCGAGCGCTTTTCCTGAGGGCTCACCACCCCCACCCATCCCGGGGGTGTGGGATCGGGGAGCAGAAGCAAGGTCAGGACATCCACCCCAGCCCTGGCAAGGTAGCCAGCCTATTGGTTAAGAGCTCAGGCTTTGGAGGCAGAAAGACCTCGGTGTGCATCTTGCCTCTGAGTCTTGGCCAGTGTGAGGCCTTGAGCCAACCTCTTAACTTTCCCAAGCCTCAGTTTCCCCATCTCTAAAGTGGGATGATAAGAGTCCTATCCTTGGACTGTCTGAAGATTAAAGCGTTCAATTTAGAATTTCTAGGGCACAATAGGTAGTCAATAATGTTACTGTTGTTACGTGAAGCATCTTGCGTGAAGATAAAAACTCAGAAAGCGCTCAATATTATCCTATATAATTGCCTAGCACAGAATCTGCGTCACAGCAGGTCCTCAAAAAAGTGCTATAGAATTACTACTGCTATTCTAACTATTTTCACCATCATGAACAAAAAGGCGTAGTCCAGAACTGGCATAAAATATCTGCTCATTAAAGAGCAGCTAGCACAAAACTTGGCCCGCAGTGGGTAGTTACAAATACTGTAATTTTTTTTTTTTTTTTTTTTTTTTTTTTGTGGTACACGGGCCTCTCACTGTTGTGGCCTCTCCCGTTGCGGAGCACAGGCTCCGGATGCGCAGGCTCAGCGGCCATGGCTCACGGTCCCAGTCGCTCCGCGGCATGTGGGATCTTCCCGGACCGGGGCACGAACCCGTGTCCCCCGCATCGGCAGGCGGACTCACAACCACTGCGCCACCAGGGAAGCCCCAAATGCTGTAATTTTTGCTGTTGTTTTTATTATATCAAGCACCAAGGATCTGACTCAGAGTAGGTGCTCAATCAGTGTTAATATTCTTACGTGAAGAATCTAGTCCGGGACTGAAGTAATTGTTTCATTCATTTAACAAATATTTATGGAGCACCGACTGTGCCAGGTCTTGCTGTAGGTGTTGGGGATGCAGCTGGGGAAATGCACAGAAATTTGCCCTCATAGAGTTTATCTTCCAGTGGGGAGAGACAGACGATCGATGTAAATAAGTATGTGATATAGGATGATAGGAAGTGAGAAGTGAAATGGATAAAAGGAAGAGTCAAGGTTAAGGGAGGTGGGGCACGTCGGCGGGCAGGCGGAGGGGTACAGGGAGATTGGATGGAGGCTTGAAGGGGGTGAAGGAGGAAGAACAGCCTCCACGACAGGGGGTCAGCAGATGCAGAGGCTGGGAGGTGCCTGGTGTGTCCATGGAACTGGGTGAGCAGAGCTGGGACGAGCGGGAGAGAAGGAGATGAAATCAGAGCGGTGAGCGCTGGGGTCAATGATGGAGCCCCTTGGGGACCACTGACGGACTCTGGCTTTTCCTGAGTGGCATTAGGAACTGTTGGAGGGTCTTGAATATGTGACTGATGTGTGTGTGAGGAGGGTCACCCTGGAGCCACGCTCAGTGTAGATTGTAGAGGGGAGAGGGGAGAGGATATCGGGGTAACTCATAGCAGGAATGATGGTGGCTGGACTAGGATGGTGTGGGGCGGTGTAGGCACTGAATGGACACACTTTGAAGGTAGATCCAGTGGGATGTGTGGATGGCTTGAAGGTGGCATGTTTGAGAGAGACAAGCCAGTGAGGACTCTACAGTTTTGGCCTGAGTAACTGGAAGGATGGATTCACCATCAGGAGAGATGGGGAGATTGTAGGTGAAGCAGGTTCAGGGGAGACAGGAGTTCAGTTCTGGCTACGTTAAGTTTGAAATGTCAAGGAGGCAGTTGCAGGTATGAGTCTGAAATTTAGCAGACAGGTCCGGGGCAGGGCTGTTGGGAGTTGTCAGCATGGGTATGGTATTTAAAGCCAGGAGCCTGGATGAGATCACCAAGGGAAGGGGAGCAGATGGAGAAGACACAAGGACTGAAGGCTGAGCCCTGGGGTCCTCCAAGGTCAAGAGATCATAGAGAAGAGGAGAAGAAGCAGCCAGTGAAAGGGGAAGAAAACCGAGACTGTGCCATCCCAGAGGCTGCGGAAGGAAATGTGACTAATCTGAGGAGGAGGATGGTGAGGAGGAAAGCTTTATGCTCAGGGGCACACAGTAGGCACTCAATAAATGTTACTAGATCATGAGAATGATAATGATGGAAATCACCTAGCCTAGGGCCTGGCACACAATAGGTGGTCAACAGCGTTGCTAAAGGCTGAGGTGGGGCTGACGTCGATGAGAAGCATCTTGCCCAGGGCCTGGCATGTGGTGGGTGCCCACTAAAGGCTACCAGGCTGATGACCATCGTGAGATGGTGTACATCACTTAGCCCAGGGCATGGCACACAGTAGGTGCTTGGTAAGTGCTACTACAAGGGTAATCATGATGATGTTAACGTAAAGCACCTAGCCTAGGGCCAGGCACAGGATAGATTCTTGTGAAATGTTATTTCAGTGATGACCATGGTGACGATGGAGTAAACCACCTAGTTCAGGGTCCAACACAGAGTAGGTCCTCATTCATTGTCATTACTGTGATGTCCATGATGATGGTGGAGTAAACCACTTAGCCCTGGGCGTGGCTGGCGCTATGTGCTCCTCAAATGCCATAAGGATGATGGCGGTGGGTGGAACCCCCCTGGAGGGGGGGACCCTGTGAGGCCCTCGCTAATACCTGCTGGACCCTCCCCTCCGGCAGATCACCTACGGTACCATCAATGACCAGCTGCATTTCCCAGCAGTGCTGCGCACGGCGCCAGGTGTGCATCACCAAATGGAGGCCATGGTGCCGCTCATGCGGCACTTCCGCTGGAATTGGATCCTTGTGTTGACAAGCAGCGATGACTATGGCCGCGGCAGCAGCCAGCTGCTCAGCGAGTGCCTGGCCCACCGTGACATCTGCATCGCCTTCCGGGAGACGCTGCCGAGGCCGCAGCCCAACCGGACGATGACGCAGCAGGAGCGTGAGCGCCTGGAGGCCATCATGGGCAAGCTGCAGCAGAGCATGGCGCGTGTTGTGGCCGTGTCCTCGCCAGACCTGGCCCTGTTCAACTTCTTCCGCGAGGTTCTGCGCCAGAACTCCACGGGCGCAGTGTGGGTCGCCTCTGAACCCTGGGCCATCGAGCCGGTCCTGCACCACCTCACCCAGCTGCAGCGCACAGGCACCTTCCTGGGCTTCACCACCCTGGGCATCACCACCCAGAGCAGAGCGTGCCCATCCCGGGCTTCAGCGAGTTCCGCGTGCACCGCTCCCAGGTCAGCCGGCCCGCGCTCAACAGGAGCAGCCCGGGGGCCACCTGCAACCAGGAGTGTGACACCTGTATGGACACCTCTGAGCCCTTCAACACCATCCTCACGCTCTCTGGCGAACGCGTGGTCGACAGCGTGTACTCCGCCGTCTACGCCGTGGCTCACGCGCTGCAGAGCCTCCTGGGCTGCAACCAGACCGGCTGCCACAAGGAGGTGGTCTACCCTTGGCAGGTGAGGTCTGGTCTGTGGAAAGCCAGGGCCCCACGGAGCAGGTGCCGAGTCCGTGGTTGCCATGGAGACCGCAGAGCTGCCCGCTGCTCTGCTCTATCCTCCCCTTCCCTTGGTGGGTTCTGGGCAAACGGGTGGGAGAGGCCATGGACCACACCCTGCCTCCAGACACACAGGAGTCCTTCGTGGTGACAAAACAAAATTCCTTTAAAAAAACAAATTAACTTAATCATCACCACCCATGATGGTCTGTCCTTGGAGATTTGGGTGCAATTCCCTAGAATGAAGCCCCGCAGGCTGGAGCCCCAGTTCTCCCCGCAGCCTCTCCAGGGTGGAGGCCCTGGGGATGAGCTCGTGTATTCCCGTCAGCTCTCAGGTTCATGGTCCCAGTTCGGCATCACCTAGATTCAGGCCTGGAATTTAAAGCTGTGTTTTCCTGGTTTTAGGCACAGGCACACACACACCCTACCTCGGGCCTGTGGAAGGTGTAGAAGGTTTTATTGAGGATCCAGAGAAGAGGAGATACACACCAGAGATGTGCGCTTTCTACTCAGCATTAGACATCTCTGCTTAAACACTTCACTGACTTTCCCATAGTTTGGAACCAGCTGCCTACTCTATCGCTCAGCCACCCTGCATCCCCATCTTTATCCTCCCCTGATACCTGTCAGGCATCTCTGATACAGCCCCTCTGTTAGGAGGCAGGTGGTGATGATCTGAGCAGAGCTTTGGAATCAGGCAGCCTGGGTTCAAGTCCCAGTTCTGCCACCACTAGCTGTGCCACTTTGGGCAAGTTATTTAATATCTCTGAGCCTCGGCTTTCTCATGTATTAAACAGAAGGAGTAATGTGTACGCTGCTGAGTTATTAGGAGGATTAATAATAATGTATGTCCATTACCTGGTGCAGAGTAGAAGCTGAGTGTCTCCTCCTCTGTTTCTGACCCCAGTGTCTGGCCTTAGGAGAGAGGCTGGGGCTTGGGGGTAGAGCCACTGCTGGGGTTGGAGGTGGGGTAGGTGAGGAAGGGGAAGCAAGGCTCAGACCCAGAAGGGGAGCCCGGAGAGACCCAGGCCCCTGCCAGTAATAGGCCCTGCCCTGCCTACTCAGGAGAATTACAGGGAAATGCTTTCTGGCCCCACGTATTGGACCCCTGGAATCCAGGTTCCTCAGCCCAGCTTGGCCAGCAGATGGTTTATCCCAGGATATGATCTGGGGGAACAGGAGGCTGGGGAGTATTTAACAGGGAAAGAGTCAGTATAAGGGGATGTTCTCAAGCTGGGTGCTGCTGGGAGCCACGGGATCTCAGTCTTACCTGGACCTTCTCAGAAGTCACTTTAGAGCAGTCCCCGAGGGTGGGAAGAGGATCCATTGGCTCCGTATCTCCCAGTGGTCAAGGGTTGTGCCAGGGGGTATGAATTCCCTGGCGTTTCCAGGTTGCGCTCGTGTGATACCCAGCAGCTCCCTGCGGGCGTCTCACCCTGCAGCCCCTGGGCAGAGAGCGGCCAGGTTGGTCTCTGCACGAGGGGAGTCGAGTGAACCCAGCCACGGGCCCTGCTGCTGCCCTGGGCCCCGGGTGGACCTGATTCAACCTCTCTTTCTGCCACCGTCCATTCTGGATTCCTTCACCCTCAGCCATGGGCTGCTCTAGGTCATTGGCATGTGGGGTGATCCAGACATTCATCCCCAAGGTATCAGAGGCTGTGTCACCTTGTCCGGGCTGGCTCGTGGTCCGGTGGCTGTCTAGTAGCAGTCATCACTGGGCTAGAAACACCAAGTGCCACCTTGGGGAATCGCCTGGATCCCAGTCCTACGCCTTCCTACCCCTAGCGGCACTCCTAGCCCCTCCTGCTAATCCAGGTCATTTACCTCTCCTTTCTTGGCTTTCTTGTTTGCTGGCATGAGACCCCCTAAATGACCAGGTGGTAACCATAGAGCCCTATTGTGTCTGCTGGTGGGAGTATTCCCCCTTTGGAGACCATGCTTTATTCTAGCAGAATCTAAGGTTCTGGAGGTGAGAAGCCCTGATTCTACAATGGACCTCTGCAAAGAATGGTGAGTGTGGCCAATCCTTTTTCCACCCTGTGGTTGCTGGACCCACATCTTCTAGAGTGATCAAGTTCCTTGTGGAGTCTGTCATGACAGACAGTAGCAGAGTACACAACTCTGCAACAAGGTAGTGAATGTGATTTGAGGTCTTTCTTTTTAAATGTGGGCATTGACAGCTAGACACTTCCCTCTAAATACTGCTTTCATTGTATTTCATAAGTTTTGTTACTTGAAAAAATTATCTTTAACTATGGTAAAAAAAACCCATAAATGTTACCATCTTAAAAGATTTTTCCTAATGTTTTAATTGTGGTAAAATACACATAACATAAACTTTACCGTCTTAACCATTTTTAAGTTGACCGTTGAGTAACATTAAGTACATTTATACTGTTGTACAGCCATCACTGCCATTCATCTCCAGAATACTTTCATCTGGCAAAATTGAAACTCTGTGCCCATTAAACAGTAACTCCTCCTTCATTCCTCTCCTCCAGCCCCTAGAAAGCACCATTCTACTTTCTATCTCTGAATTTGACCGCAATAGATACCTCATATAAGTGGAATCATACAGTATTTGTCTTTTTTATTACTGGTTTATTTCACTTAGCATAAGGTCCTCAAAGTTCATCCAAAGTTCAAAGTTCATCCAAAGTTGTAACATGCATCATAATTTCCTTCCTTTTTAAGGCTGAATAATATTCCATTTTATGGATATATAATATTTTGCTCATTCATAAATGGACACTTGGGTTGCTTCCATATTTTAGCTATTGTGAAATTAATACTGTTATGAATAGGAGTATACAAATATCTCTTCAAGACTGCTTTCATTTCTTTTGAGTATATACCCAGAAACGTAATTGCTGGATCATAGGTTAATTCTATTGTTAATTTTTTGTGGGACTACCATGTTCTCCACAGTGGCTGTACCATTTTACATTTCCAGCAGTGCACAAAAGCTCACTGTTCCAATTCCTCTACATCCTCACCAACACTTGTTATTTTCTGTCTTTTTGATAGCAGCCATCTTAATGGGTGTGAAGTGGTCTCTCATTGTGGTTTAGATTCTTACTTTCCTAATGATTACTGATATTGGGTATCTTCTCATGTGCTTATTATCCATTTGTATATCTTCTTTGAAGAAATGTTTGTTCAAGTCTATTTTTTTCTTTTTTTTTTTTGGCGGTACGTGGGCCTCTCACTGTTGCGGCCTCTCCCGTTGTGGAGCACAGGCTCTGGACGCGCAGGCTCAGCGGCCATGGCCCACGGGCCCAGCCGCTCTGTGGCATGTGGGATCCTCCCGGGCCGGGGCACAAACTCGTGTCCCCTGCATTGGCAGGTGGACTCTCAACCACTGCGCCACCAGGGAAGACCCTATTTTTTTCAGTTTTGAATCAGGTTGGTTTTTTGGTTGTTGTTGAGTTTTAGGAGTTCTCTGTATTCTGTGTATTAATACCTTGTATATCTTATTTGCAAATATTTTCTCCCACTCTATAGGTTGTCTTTTTACTTGGTTGATAGTATCTTTTGATACATAAATTTAAAATTTTTCATTAAGTCCAATTTGATCACTTTTTTTCTTTTGTTGCCTGTGCCTTTGGTGTCATCTCCAAGAAACTATTGCCAAAGTCAGTGTCGTGAAACTTTTGCCCTGTGTTTTCTTCTAAGAGTTTTTATAGTTTTAGATCTTCCATTTAGGTCATGGATCTGTTTTCAGTTAATTTTTGTATATGATGTTAAGTACAGGCCACTTCATTCTCTTGCCTCTGGGTATCCAGTTTTCCCAGCATCATTGGCTTAAAAAACTATCTTTTCCCCATTGAATGGCCTAGAAACCTTTGTCAAAATCATTTGACCAGGGCTTCCCTGGTGGTGCAGTGGTTGAGAGTCCGCCTGCCGATGCAGGGGACATGGGTTCATGCCCCGGTCCGGGAAGGTCCCACATGCCGCGGAGCGGCTAGGCCCGTGAGCCATGGCTGCTGAGCCTGCGCGTCTGGAGCCTGTGCTCCACAACGGGAGAGGCCACGACAGGGAGAGGCCTGCGTAGCAAAAAAAAAAAAAAAAAAAAAAAAATCATTTGACCATATATGTGAGGTTTTATTTTTGGACTTTATTTTATTCCATTTGTCTGTGTGTCTCTTTAGTCTGGTACCACATTGTTTGATTACTGTCACTTTGTAGAAAGTTTTGAAATCAGGAAATGTGATTCCTCCAGCTTTGCTCTTTTTCAAGATTGTTTTGGCTATTCAGGGTCCCTTGAGATTTCATATGAATTTCAGTTTTTGTATTTCTGCAAAAAAACCTCATTGGAATTTTGATAAGAACTACATTAAATCTGTAGATTGCTTTGGGTAGTATTGACATCATAACAATATTAAGTCTGCCAATCCGTAAACATGGGATGTCTTTCCATTTATTTATGTCTTCTTTAATTTCTTTTAGAAATGTTTTGTAGTGTTCATTGTACAAGTCTTTCCCTCCTTGGTTAATTCCTAAGTATTTTATTCTTTTTGATGCTATTGTAAATAGAATTATTTTCTTAATTTCCTTTTTGAATTATTCATTGTTAGTGTGTAGAAAACAACTGATTTTTGTGTGTTGACTTTGTGTCTTGATACTTTGCAGAGTTCACTTATTGGTCCTAACAATTTTTTTGCAGAATCTTTAGGATATTTTACATATAAGATATCATCTGTGAGCAGGTAATTTTATTGATTACTTTCCAATTTAGATAACTTTTTTTTTCTTGCCTAATTGCTCTGGCTAGGACCTCCAGTACTGTGTTAATAGAAGGGGTGAAACTGCACATCTTTGCCTTGTTCCTGATTTTAGAGGAAGAGCTTTCAGTCCTTCTCCATTGAATATGATATTCACTGTTGGCTTTTCACATAGAGCTTTTATTATGTTGAGGTAGTTTTCCTCTACTTCTTGTTTTTTGAGTGTTTTTCTATCATG